GCATACTTCTCATTTCTTGTAGCTCAGTACACATCATTCTTGATTTCTTAAATGCCATCTTTGTTTTTATAGTAATTGAGAAGTGTGAAATGATTTCTTACTGTTGTTCATCAGGAGCCATTGACAGAGGAAGCTGTTAACTACTGAAGAATGGCAGAACTTGGCTAAATTGAGGGGGAAGAGTTTTGTTATTTTAGTATGGATGTTACATTGAAATCAACTTGAATCCATCCATTAAAAAGTTTTTAATTTCATTACACATGCTGCAGAAATTAATTTCTTGTTTAGTATTCTTGATTGGCTCTGCTGTAGTTTCTTTATGCATGCAAATTTGAAATGCATACAACTTAATTCCTCACACTTGCTTCCAACCTCTAATTTATCACAATTGAATCACTGTTCCCGGGTTCACTGTGCAATTAGTGGCTGCCTGTTTGAATAGAAGCACCTTTCTCTTTCCAAAGTCAGGCTGTTAGATTTTCTGTTCTGCAATCTAATTTGCTTTGGGGCAAGTGCATCACAGATAATCACAGAATGACAATGGAAGAGATGTGCTCAGTTCCTAATTTATCAGGTCTTCATATGCTTGATGAGTTTATGGGTACAAATTAAAAGTGGGGAAATTCAGACTAGATACTCGGAAGAATTTTTTTTCCTGTGAGGGTGGTGAGACATTGGCTCAGGTTGCCCAGGGAGGTGGTAGAAACCTCAACCCTGGCAGTGTTCAAAGCCAGGTTGGATGAAACCTTGAGCCACCTGCTCTGGTGGGAGGTGTCCCTGCCCAGGGCAGGAGAGATTGGGACTAGATGATCTGTAAGGTCTATTCCATCCCCTAAAATTCTATGATTCTCACATTACTTTGGTTACGCTGCTTATGTTGCTGTGACCTTTTTTCGTCCAGGAATGAATTCCTAGTTTGGATGGTCAGTAAGATAAAGTCTTTTGTGACATATGAGCTGGTTGATAGTGTAGCAGACCCCCAGAATATTCTTCTGTGACTGCTATTTACTTGTGTATCAAGTACTTATCCTCTCCTGCTTTCTTCTATGATTTGCCAAGAATCATAGAATTAGAATCATAGTATTTAGGGGTTGGAATGGACCTTAGAGGTCATCTAGTCCCAACCTCCTGCCCTGGGCAGGGACACCTCCTCACTAGATCAGGTTGCTCAAGGCTTCATCCAGCCTGGACTTGAACACCACCAAGGTCGGAACAGCCACTGTGTCCCTGGGTAGAAGGTTTTTATTATATTCAACCCAAACTACTTTATTTTTGAAGGCTATTTTCCTGAAAACTTTCAGAAAATAGGATCTGGAAACATATCATCTATAATAAATCTCATCTCTTATATTGTGCCGTCGCTTATGTGATTTGTGAAGTTTTGATCTCCAGGGTGAGGAGGTCTAGTTATGTTACCTAAAATACAGGTTACAATATTTCCACAACATTTCTAAGCTATACAGGAAAGCAAGTAACTTCCAAAGCCTTAATTTCCAGATGTTATGAAGAATGTGAAAGAATAGTTGGATTACAATGTGCCTCGGAGAAAGTAAAAAGCAAATTGCTTTTGTCAAGGTATCTCTAGTATAATTTTGTCACTTGGCTGTTGGTACCTGCTGTTTTGCCCCCATGTGTTAATCCTAGCAGATAACTGTGTAATCACCATACTTTCTCTAATAGGAGAGGAAAGGAAATGAAAGCAATTGATGGAAAAGAAATGGAAATGCATTGTTAGAAATGGGGAAGTGCAGAAGAGTAAGAACTAGTAGTGAAATATGAACCAGTTTGACAAATTAAAGCCAATTTTAATGAAATTGGGAAAATGCAATTCAAGTTTTCATGATACCTTAATGCCAGAAAGACATCAAAGAATATCTTTGAAAATAGCTAATTTCAAAGCTTTTGAGTCCTGGCTGTTTATATTTCTCAAATACTGGATAATTAATTAGTTTGTAATTGTTGATTTAAGGGAGGTAATATGATAATATGTGTCTTTTTCCTAATAACAGTTGCATATTTCATTGATTTGGGGATTCTTGTAAGGGGAAAGGGAGACACATTCTGGTACAGCTGAGCATTCCCTAAGTGCTCATTTAACTCTTGGTCTTTTTTCCTCAAACTTGAATCTGTAGTTAAAAGTTTACATTAATTGGCAATAAACTAAGTGAATTTTGTCAATCAAGGCTGCCTTGCCCCTGCAACTCTAATTCCAGAAAACATTGAAACACTACTATTACCTGGGCAAAAAAAAAAGAGTGGATGGAATGCCAAACAGTGGAGAGAAATGTGGTATTTGGTAAGTTGTCCCTTGTGCGTGGTCAGTGGTCTCATCCATGAGAGTGGATCACTTGTTCTGCCACACAGAATGGAGGGAAATGTGCAGCTTTAGGGATGTGCTTTTTCCATTTATACAGCTTTTTTTTAATGAAGCAGAAACTCAGAAGTGCTGTTGAACTTGCTTTACATTACCCTTCTCGTGAAAACTGAGTTTTCGAACGTAATCACTAAAACATGACGGGAAATATCTGCAGCATGGACCACCTGGTTTTCCTTTCATCTTGATTCATTCATTAGCTTCCTCATATTAAAAACCCTCCAAGACACAATTAACCCTTTTTTAATACTGTGAAACTTGAAATGCTCATTAAAACTCGTTAAAGCAGAGGAATTTACTTTCAAAAGCAGTTTAATATAAAAATTTTCCTGATTTCTCTTCTCCTGGATAGGGTAGGATACTAAGGGTAGGATCACATCACAGTCCCGGTCTAAAGCAGCTATTGAAGTAATTAATGATAATTGGTTGCTTTGCATTGCAGAGTCGTGATATAAGATCCTTTGATGAAATTATTTTCCATAATGGAATGTTGTCTTCTGAGCATACACTATATAATAATGATGCTGTCAGCAAGTTCTTTTTGTCCAGGAAGAAGAAAATGTAATTGGAGATAAAAATACATCACCCAGTCTCAGGTTTTCTCTGTCTTTACATTCTCCTGTGTTTTGAATAGTGCTATTCCCACAAGAAAGCAAACATTTACTTGTGTTGCCTGATTTACCAAGTTGTTTTTGTTTTTAACAGCCTTTAAAATGCACAAACCAGTTTTATTTTCAGTACTAACTTCAGTGCTCTTGTGCCAAATACATGAAAGTTGAATTTTATCTTACTTAAAAAAAAAAGATAATTTTTTTTTGTATTTTGTTAGTTACCTATTCTGCTCTCAGCATTACATAAACACTCTTAGAACTGAGAAATTGACTAGAATTGCCAAAATTCAGAATAATCCCCTAAGCTCATAGGCAGTGTTGTTCTCATTCTGCATGTTTTTGCAGGGTTAAAGCGACTAATTGCAAAGAGAACTAGCATGAAGTAAAATCATAGAATCATAGAATTTAAGGGTTGGTATGGACCTTACAGATCATCTAGGCCCAACCATAGTCCCTCTCTGGCTCCTTGTATGCCCTTCAGATATTGACAAGTTGCTCTGGGGTCTCCACACAACCTTCTCTTCTCCAGGCTGAACAGCCCCAGCTCCCTCAGCCTGTCCTCACAGGGGAGATGCTCCAGTGCTCTTAGCAACTTTGTGGCCTCCTCTGCACTTGCTCCAACAGTTCCATGTCCTTCTCATGCTGAGGACACCAGAACTGTGTGCAGTATTCCAGGTGGGTCTCACGAGAGTAGAGGGGAAGAATCACCTCTTTTGCCCTGCTGCTCACACTCCTGTGGATGCAGCCCAGGATTCCATTGGCTTTCTGGGCTGAGCTCACGCTGCAGCTCATGGTGAGTTTCTCATCCACTGAAAACAGTGACTTTAAAGCAATAAACTCCCTTGAGTTTGCTGAAACTGCAATAAAAGTATCACAAAGCACTGTCAAAGTGTTGACTTATTTGTATAACTGATATTAGAAGTAATGAAATTGTAGGATTTACTGGTGTGGTTAGAGCATTTGTTGTCCATTTTATTATTCGGCTCACCAGGTATTATATAGTTTTGTACAATCATAAGATATTTTATGATCTAGCTTTTACTGAAGAGGAATATTCATAGGAAATTAGTTTGGATATTTAGCCTTCTGTCACAGAAGTGATCATACTGGATCTTTATATGGGTCATTTGCTGATAAACTTCAAATTTGGTCTGAAAATTATGGTGAAAAGAGAACCATGGAAAGGATTTGCTTTTAATTATTGTGAACTTGTGGGGAAGTAATTGAAACCAGCACTGAGGAGAAAGACTTGGGAGTGACAGTGGATGAGAGGCTCACCATCAGAAGCTGTGTGTGAGCTCAGCCTAGAAAGCCAAAGAAATCCTGGGCTGCATCCACAGGAGTGTGGGCAGCAGGTCAAGGGAGGTGATTCTTCCCCTCTACTCTGCTCTCCTGAGACCTATCTGGAATATTGCACACAGTACAGGCAGCCAGCAGCAGGACAAGAGGGCACAGACTCAAGCTCTGCCAGGGAAGGGTTAGGTTGTCTATTAGGAAGAGGTCTTTTACAGAGAGAGTGCTCAGGCATTGGAATGTGCTGCCCAGGGAGGTGGTGGATTCACCATCCCTGGAGGTTTTCAAGCTGAGACTGGATGTGGCACTTAGTGCCATGGGCTAGTAACCATGGTAGGGTTGGACTGGATGTTCTTTGAGGTCTTTTCCAACCCAGTTGATTCTATGGTTTTATGAAAGGTGAAATATATTTGGCTCCATCTCTGCACCGAGGTAGGACAGCATTATGCATGGGGAAGTAATGTTACGCCATTGAGAGCAACGTAGACATTTCAAGAAATAACACAAGTCATAAAAATGTATTACTGATTTGTGGCTTGTTAATAAAATGCCCTAATTCTAATCAACCATGCAATTATTTCTAACAGACTTTTACAGCTTTGCTGCTACGACTTCGGAATGCAAAGCTTTCTCAGCTACAATGATTTGCTGCAGGTACCTATCAGTACATGGGAAAAAATACTGTGGTTCTTTATAAAGGTGTCCTTATCATTCTCTTTAAGGTGTGGGATGCTGTGGATAGAGGCTGCTGCTTAAAAACATACTCCTGTCACTCCTGTGCTGTTCGAGCTGCCCAGTGGTCTTCATGTGGAAGAAGGATCCTCAGTGGGGGCTTCGATTCCACACTGCACTTGACAGATATAGAAACAGGTAAAGGTCACTAAAGGTGCATTATTGCCCTTTCTTTAGGGCTAAAATCCCAAGATCACTTGGGATCTTGTTAGCCTTATTCTTTCTTCTAGAATGAAGATAAAAATCTATAGGTGAAAGTTACAATCATTGAAATATATCCTTACTTAAAAGAAGGTATCTCAGCAGTGAAAAGTAGTTGGAGAAGTTTAAGAAAACTGAAATATCTTTAATTTCATGATCACATGTAATTTCTGTTGTTAGCTACTGCACAAATGGATAGAATGAAACGTATTTTTTATGCTCTGTCATGGTCACTCATTAAAGCATTTGAAAAACCTCTTAAGGCTGATTTCAGTACCATGTATACATATAGTGAGTTTGAACATGGATCTCATTCTCAGTTGCCTTGCTTTTAAGTTTGTGCTTGGAGTAAATCAGGTGATTTATTGTTTTTTTCTGAATAGGACCTTAATTTGGAGTATAGAAACTCAAATTCTGGTATGAAACCTTGAGACTGAACGTGTGTTGCTTTGACACGTTTGTGAATTTGATTTGGGATTGGATTGCTGTAACTCTACCAACTAATCTCCTGGATGCTATCTCTCCTTGTGTCTCCTTCACAAGCTCAATTGCTTCTGTCAGCTATATTCCTTCTCTCCTCTATGCATGTTCCCAGCACTCAGACAGCAGCATTCACTGGAGCTGTGCATAACAGGACACCTTTGTGTGTCTTGAAATCCAAAATAGTATCTCGTCAAGGGAAGTGATGCAATTTGATATTTTCCACTTTATTTTTAAGTGTTTAACTCCTGCAAAGGTGCAATATTTTTTGTAAGGCTGCAGTAGAAATCTGTAACAAAAATTACAGGCAGTTATTGTCTGGGAGGATTTTCTCTGACGTAAAAGCAAGAAGCACATTGTGTGTGTGAATTTCTGGAGAGCAGAAAGTCCTATTCAGATGATCTGGGAAAGTGGCCAAGGAAATTTGTGAATATTGTTCTTTTCCATGCTGTAAGAATTTATTTTTCTCACCAATTGTCATAGCAGAAGTATTTAAACTCAGTGATGGCTGGAAGGGAGTTGTAGTGTGGGAATGTCAAGCATGTTAAGGAATACTGATGGTTTGAAAACATTCAGGTTTTGTACAGGGGAAAAGAGCTTTATATATGTGATGTAGTAATACATGAGGTTAATTGACCAAGTCATTAATTTGTTAGACTTCTTGTCTTTTTTTTTCCTTTTCTTTTTTCAGTCTTAGTACAGCAACCTTTCCAGTCTCACATATAACTGTATCTTACTAATCCAGGTGGATTTACTTTTGTCTGTAGTGCTTCCAAATTCTAAACAGAATGGCTACCTTCTTAATGGGATTTATAGCAGTGGGATGGATTTTATGTGTCTGAGTCATTTGAAGGGACTACTCAGGGAAAAAAATCTCATTTTATAAAGTCATAGTACAAATTCCAACGATGTAATTTTAATAATATACTTAATTTCTCACATAAATGGTCATAAACTGAGACAGGGAAGATTCAGAATAGATGGGGGATGTGTGTCCTGCCATGGCTGCAGGGAGAGGATAGAGGGAATGGCCTTGAGCTGAGGCAGGGCAGAGTCAGATTGGATGTGAGGAGAAACGTTTTCCCTGTTAGGGTGTTCAGGTGATGGAATATTGCCCAGGGAGGTGGTAGAGTCACCATCCCTGGAAATGTTTAAGAGGCATCTGGATCTGGCACGGGAGGATCTGGTTTAGGGGCTCCAGCAGTGACAGGTTAATGGACTGGAAGATCTTAGAGGTCTCCTCCAACCTTGATGGTTCTATGATTAAAAGTTTCAGAGCAGTTAAATTTATAAATCTTCATTCCTTACTGACCTGTAGTGTTTCTAGCTACTTAAACAGTATGTGTAAAGGTGAAATGAATGTGTATATCCTTGGAAACACCAGATATTCCTTACTGTCTCCTTTCAAGAGCACAGGACTCCTTGTGTATCCTCTGAATTGCAGTTGTTGTGTTGATCTCCGGGTCTCACTCTCAGGGATACACACCTCATTTGGAAAAGCACAACATGAGTGATCAGAATTTTATCCTGATTCCCTAGGCATGCAGGCCACTTCCTGAGTCCCTTCTCTGTTGTAAAGTGACTCTTCTTTTCATACATTTCAGCCAATTCTTTTCAGAGAAACAGAGGGAGTGGTTCACCTCTGGAATCCAAATCAATTGAGTATAAAAAGCCTCATTTCCATTTGAAAAACACTAAGGCAGCTCCAAGATTTTGATTTACATTAGTTCACTGAATCACTCATTCCTCCTCACTCTTCATCAGTGCTGAGATGATTTCTTCTTTGATTAACTTCATATAGATGTTAGAACTGTTCCTTCACAGAGGACTTTTAGGTGTTTTTTTGGACTTTGGTTTAATTACTTTCCATTGCTGGTCTGCACTAACTACCAATGTGTTTAAATGCAGTGGGATTTTATCCATCATAATGCTGTCTCTAAGGCTCTGTGCTCAGCTCTTGTATATTTTGATCTGAGTCAACATTTTTCCAATCATGTTTGCTAAAATCTAATCTTTCTCGTCTTTGTTTTCAATATAGATTTTATATATTGCATCTGTGTTATAAAAATTGCTACATGTCTTTCACCAAAAGGAGGTTAACACACTGAAGAGAATAATTTAAAAAGTTTAGGAAAGATTGCAAATGCAGCTCAGTACAACTTAGTTGTGGAGTTATTTTAGGACATTTTGTGCTTGTTTTCTGTTAGGAAACAGGTAGTTTTTGCCCTGTTAAACTGAAATTGTAGTCTGGCTAATTGTTTGTTGTGGGTCTGATGACAGCTAGTTGTGAGATTCCTCGAAGGAATGTGCCAGCATTGTTGTAATAAACAGTGCTAGAATAAATTCTCCAGGAAATTTTGTTTCTAAGATTGAACTTTAATTTGTGTGTCCTAATATATTGCATTTCTGGGAGTGATTTTTTTAAATCTTCGTGATCTGAACAATATCAGAATAGAAGCAAACACTGAAATCCCATTAATCAAGGAGCAGAATTTTTGTCTTGGACATAGAAATCCTAATGCAAAGATAGAAGACACATCTATGAAATCTTATCCTGTAGTTTTACACCATCAAGCCTCCTGCCCTTGTCACATCCATTTAATGAAAGAAGATCTAAGATGCAGCAAGCAGTAAAAAAGGGCTGAGATGAAATTAATGAGGTTCACTAAGGACAAATAGCAAGTCCTGCATCTGGATTGGAGTAATCCTGTGCAACAGAACAGGCTGGTGCTAAACTGGCTGGAAAGCAGCTTTGCAGAAAAATACCTAGGGATCCTGGTGCTGAATATGAGTCATCAGAGTTCTCTTGCAGGAAAGAAGGACAACTCCATTCCAGGCCAGATTAGGAAGGGTTTACCTAGTAAATAGAGAAAATTATGCCAGGCTCTTCTCAGAGATGTGCAGTGAAAGGATAAGAGGCAAAGGACAAATATAGGAACACAGAAACTTGTTGGCTCAAGTCATCAAATACTAAACAAGGCTGTTCAGAGCAGCTGTTGAGTTTATACCTGGAGATATTCAGAGCTTCAGTGGACAGACCTGTAATAAACTTACTGCAGCAGGACCTACTTTGAGTAGGGGTTTGGACTAGATGATCCCTGGAAGTCCA